TATTATTCAGACGTACCGTTTTAATTTACAAGTTTATATGTAAATGGTGTAAGTATATATTCTCTAAAACAAAACAGTCTGGGATAATGAAGTAAAATGAAAATTTAAAAAAAGTCGTATTTTGCTTTATTGCACTGAAAGGCTGCAGTTCTATATAAATATTTATAGCAATAATTTTAAAATAAAGGATCAAATACCATAATTTTTACTTTTTAATAAGACTAGACTATAAAAATCTATTTTCATTAGTGTTAGGCAAGGATCCTATGACAGCCAATTTATTTAAGCTGAAGCACTATAAATGGATAAAGGTACACCAAATACGGTGTATATAATCATGAGGTTGACCAAATTGTAATCAATTCACTTAGGCATTACATATACCTAATCTCTCCTTCAAAATAAACCGTTTTTAAGAGCTTATCTAAATATTTTAAAAATTTAAGGATTAAATATTCATTTGACCGTATTTATATGGAACCGGGGATTAAACAATTTGGAATTTTCTTGGTCAAAGAAGCCAAACACCGTTTTGCTTTATTTATCGCGCAATTTGTCCCCTAAAGGATTATTTGTCCACCCCAGCATTAATTCAAACGTTATTTTACGCACGCACCTTTTTGTGATTTTTTTACTCTTGAATTAAAATAGTATACAGGGTGTCACCAAACAAGTTGTAATTTTTTTTAATAAAAAAAATCATTAAAATTTTTATAAGTAAAGTAATAATTTTGGGCCGCCACTGGTTGTTGCTGACTTATAACAACTGGCGCAAAATATGCTTGCAATAATCTACATTCATGTTCATGTTAGGTATCTCGAGGTTTCCGTGGTTTTCTTGTCGATTTAAATTTCACCTTTTTACGTCGATTGATGCTCATGTAGCTATTTTTTTAAGTGTTCCACAAATGTTCAACTCTTGCTATCATATCCGGATGATTTCGGGTCATTTAGTGTCATGGGAACATGTACGATACTGGGCGATTTAAAGGTGGGGGTGGAAAAAACAGTATATGGTTTCTTCGGAATGATTGAGGTTTAGTAATATAGTGGCCACTTGATGACAGTATAATTTCTTAATACTTACTCTAAACCCTCTATATTAATCATCGGTTTATGTCAGACGTGTTTCAGACATTATGGCCCAAAGTTTTAGCAAATACCGTAACAATAACTATTGTAACAACTGGCAAAACAATATTATCATTAAATAAAGACCCTTTGAAAGTTAAGCGTTGAGCGTTGACCAAATTTCTAGTGTTATAAGATTTAGTAAACTTGGTATATTTTGTACTTGGTGAGTAACTGGTTGTAATTTTTGATAAGACTGATTGCCCGTTCGACAACATTGTTAGAGAATCGAATTATATGGCCAATTCTGAGGTGGACCTTCAGGATAGATTATTTGATTATATCGTAATTGTTCCTGCCATGTATGCCACATTCACTAAATAAAACTACCTATTTTAAAAGATAAATGTATATCAAGGCATATCGATTTTTCTTTTTATAAATAAATGTGGCACACAGTATTGAAACCTTTAATGCATTTTTCATCGTTTCGTACATAAATAATAGTCGACTTTTTGATACTCTTTCATGAGCATAGGAAAAAAACACATTAAGAATATTCCTAAAAGGTATGGATAGCTATCCATTGATGTGAACCGTTATTATAATAAATGGTAAACCTCACAATAAGGTATTGTATTTTTCTCAACAGCTCAATATTTTGCAAAGTTTACTGAAAAATTATTTCACCACTAGTTTAGTAGATTGAAAGGACAGGAAAATCAATTGCTAACGTTCGCAAATATCAACGGCCCGAATTATTTTATACAAAGGGTTCAAACGCATCCAAAAGCCAGTCAAGAGAAAATGATAAGTAATGAAGTGATTTTTTCCACCTCATAAGTTTGTTCGCCGATAATAAGATATAGTTTAATTAATTGACTGCATAAAGGTGCGGTCTCTGATGATAAGAAAAGGGCCCCGCCCTGCAGTTGGGAAAAAGTGCGGTAAAAAATCTGCGGAAGGGTAGAAAATGGTTTTATATACGAATTGGCAAAAAATTGGAAACATATATTTCTGTCAGGAAAACGCAACCGTATATCGTATACATACGAGCGTATGGGCCAGCCTGATTATCGAATTTGATGTAATATGATTTAAATAAACGGTTATGTGTAAACTGCAAATTCCAAGAGCAAACAAAGGGGTGTTGAAACAAGGCCAACGTTTTAGGGAAGTTTATTGTTGACATTCTCTGTAACTTGTAGTGGAACATTGGAAGCCAAGAAAAAAGGCGTCTTTTATATACAGAACATGACGTATATAAATACGGCTAATGGGCATTAATGTCACAGAAATTCGCCGGATTTAATTTTTTCTACTCTACTAACTATACGTATATCTACAAGTTTATGAAGTTTATGGTTTATAAAGTGGGCATATTTTTTTATTTATTGCCTTTTGGAGAACATAAAATTTGCATTTATGCTTTCAATTAAAAACTTTTAAGTTATAGTAAATATGATCTTGGGCAAAACAGATCGATTTAGATATTGAGGGGGAGTACAAATCCAGTGTTTACTTTAAGCTACACTTAATTAAATATTTTAAATTGCATACTAGACCTTGCGACACAATTAAAAAAAAAGCAATTTCTGATCCATTGAAGTTGGATTGGTAGAAGATGTGCTTGAAAATGGCCGGCAAGATCTCCAGATTTAACGCTTCTTTGAGGTCAAGTCTACAAAACACCACCCAAGAAAATTCAAGAACTTAAACGAAGATTAATTCTCGAATTAAAAGTCCCTCCCGTTTTAAATCCAATAAAAAACCACAATCCCCCAAACCTTTTTATATTTTGATAATCTTAAAACGCAAATGACAAAAGTTATTTCATTGTCCATTTATGTATGAAATCGAATACAAAACAAAATCACCGGCTTGAATAAAGTCAGAGAAACAGAAAGCTAAAAGTTTAGAAGGCCAAAATCCCTTTCTGATGTTGTGTTTTATTTCCCCCAAAAAGCTTTGTTAATATGCAAAATATTTTCGTCGTTTTCCTTTTTTTCCATGTCTTTATTTTATCGAAGATCCTTAGACACTGACTGGTGCTAAGTAAATATTTTTATGACAGCCTTATTTATTGTTTCATTTAACTTGCTACACAATCCTCGTAAATTGAACAAACTGACCTTAATTCCAGCGACTGCATAAATGGATTAATTTTATTTTCATCCCCACAAAACACTACACCAGAAAGTTATATAAATGAAATTTATTTTATGTTTATTCTAATGAGAACCCAAACTAAATCGCAAATTTGGAAATTGTTTTCACGAAAAAAGTAACGTATTGCACCATTAAATTACACCACAACAGGCTACAACAAGTTTAAGGGAAGTAAGGCATGTAAAAAAGTAAGTAGATAACCATTAATGATTACTAAATGACATATTGTTATTACCATTACTTAAAATTGCCTTTCCAATGTTAATTACACTCCAATGAAGTTTTCTCCTTATTTTCCATAAAATAAAAAGCATAAGGTTAACATCAACATTAATACACGATTTACAAAATAAACGCTTGGTGGAGTGGCTCATACTCCGCAGGTTCAATTCCCAAAGCTTACCTACATGCTTTTTATTTATTTTTTAAATCAAACTTTATTTAAATGTCATTATCATTATAAAGGCATTTTAGTATGGCGTAATAAGGTGATTACAAGACTTCCTTAAATAATCAATAATGGTTAATTTATTCGTTTTTAATTACTCGTAATACCTCCCCTTCTACTGGGAAATTGTTCATTACAGTTTTTACTGTAGCAATGTATTCTGCCACCAACCCACAATACCAATAGGAACACCCCCTTCTATCTAAAGAGGTAATATTATTTAAATTAGTGTCTTATAAAAATTATAAATCTTGTTGTAAGGAAGCAATTAGAAAAGAAAATAAAAAACTCGTACGGCAAAGACTAACTTTTAACGAAACTAAATGAACGAGAATGTCAAAGAATTTTAAACAAAAAAACTTTATAAAAGATTATAGTGCACGTATTAAACTTGGTACCAATCAAGCTTTTGTAAAAATAAAACCAATTAACTGTACCTGTTAGTGTCACGCTTTTAAGTATGTAGATCTTAATTAAAAGTCTTAGCTTCTTTAAAAAAAAATCCGGTGTAGTGTAAATCTTAATATAAACTTTTTTAATTTAACGAATCTTAAAATTATCAAGTAGAATTACAAAACTTTCTTTACTGCTAAAATATTCTTTTTGAAACAAGGTAAAACCGTAAAAGAGGGTTATGGATATTCCATTTTGACAAAAATATTTTTATAGTCTCAGATAAGTTTCCAAAGAGACGCGTCGAAATTAGTTTTCGCACTTTAAAAAACACATTCAAAATTGATGAAGGCCTTAGCGGCCTCGAATTTATTAAACAGTTTACTCATAGATCTTTAAATAATTAAACTTGAACCATTAGCGTCAAATGATCTAATTGCACTTCCTTCTTATTGTGATATGACACCACGAAGGAAAAATTTATTGACAAATAAAACAAATAAAGTGTATATAAATAAAAAACACATTAATTATCAATGATAGAGACATTCAAATGAGCTGACGGGTCTGACAATGAAATATGTTCGACATAATAAAGTGTTTATTATCTTGTCAGGCGGATAGAATAAAGAAATCACGCGAATTGACGGAATAAAATTGAATTTATACTGATAGATGGTTCGAGATTGTACGGTTTAATGTGTGATAATGGCCTATGAAGTTAATCAGGCCGGATGTCTCTGTGCAATTTAGACAAAACCACAATCTAGAGACAACCGAGACATCCTACGTCTAATGAAATGCGGTCCAACTTGGAAAATAACAATTAGAAATCAACTCTCTCTCTCCTCTTAATTTATACCTACCCTACCACCACCAATGAAATCTAATTACTAACCTTTACATTGTTTTTTTGCAGGTGGTCAACAGAATATTTTAAAGGTAGGTAATGTGACTCTATACTTTAATATACTATAGAATACTATACACGTGTTCTACATTGTGCCTTTGTAACAATTTTTTGAACAAATAAATCTATCTATCTATCTATCTATCTATCTATCAATACTATACTATACCATGCTATACTATAGACGATGATGGTATTGCTTCGATATGTTGGTTTGAGACGAAACAATATCTAATCTTGTAACATGTAGTTAGAACCTAAATTGATTACTGTTTGGTTGCGTGTTGAGGTTCTTGTATAAGTGAAGGGTGTTAATAGCAATATAAAGGCGGTGAGTTATTGGTAAAGATTTGATATGCATCACGATCAAAGTCAAAATAGTAAGTAAGTTTAAAAAAGAATATAAGAAGAAATATAAATAATCTTGGGGCGGCAGCCATATTGGATATAGTATGACGTCACCCACCTTATTGGTTTATACTCGTCAAACCCTTTTATTTGATACCCATGTCAAGAAGGTTATATGAAATAGGTAATCCGCCATCTTGGGGCGACCGAAGAAATATAAATAATCTTGGGGCGGCAGCCATATTGGAAATAGTATGACGTCACCCACCTTATCGGTTTATCCTCGTCAAACCCTTTCATTTGATACCCTTGTCGAGGTGGTTGTGAAGAAATATGTAATCCGCCATTTTGGGGCGGCCGCCATATTGGATTGAGTATGACGTTACTCACCTTATCATGTCCATAAATCTAGTCGCGTAACTAAGTAAATCGAATTTGTTCCATTTTTAGTCAGATTATTAAATTTAAGATTAAGGGAGAGAGTCAATTTTAGCGTCATGAGATTTATGGACGGCCCCTATAGTTATCCAGATCTGAGCTGTGTTTAAAGTTTAAAATTAATACCGAACTATTCATAAAGATAGACAAGAAAGCGAGTTAAAAAAAATAGTATAAAAAGTAGTAGTACATATATGGTGGTAAATCAAATAATGGAGGAATCGCTGACGTGGTCGAGTGTAGTATAAACAATAGAAAAGTAAAGATAATAAAATGGGGCGTATATAAAGGAAACTATTATGCTCGATAGTGTAAGATGGGGGATATCTGGTCATTAAATAAATATTTCATCGAGAAAACCCTAAAATAACCTTCGGCAACCCAAGTACCCGAAACTCAAGCAAAGAGGAAGGACATAAGTTTAGCGGGACCGCAATGTTTTATCATCCTTTTCAATCTTCTCAGCGAAACCTCCACAAACTCGGCAAACTAAAATGGTCTTTAACTAAATTAAATATCAACCAGTCTATGGCCCCCACAACATTCAGATTATGTCTCTGACAACAAATGGCCGATTGTATTTCAAAATAGATACAAGACAGCTTAAATTGTTTCGGAAACGCCAAAGGGTCAAGCCCTCATTAATCGACTTCATTGAAACGATTTTTTTAGTTTTCGGCCCCGAAACAAACAACCTAAATTCTTTGAATTTAATTTTCCGAAAGCGATTCCAGTCGTATGTGAAGTTTCTTGAGTCATATGGCAGAGCAATATCTCTTTCGAAAAGAAACTTTTCTTGCACCTGCGTTCCTATTCCTGAGAAAAAATTGCTTAAGCTTACAAAACAAAGCGTAAAAATTAGATTGTTAAGTTGTTGGATTTTCAAGGGTCTCGCTGATGCCAATTACCTACACAAAGCACTTTAACTATCGGTTAACCAACTATCGGCAATTTCGTAATTAGTTTAAAATTAATTCCAGCGTAATGGACTATCCATTAAAAAGTTGAAATTTCAAGTCTTTTTGTGGATGTAATTTTTCCTTGCAAGACGTCGAAAATAAGGTCAAAAGTCTTATTAAATATTCTATTTTCTTAACGTTAGCAAATTCAACTTCAATCATTTAAACTATTTGCTTAGTAGGATGCGGAATTTAATGGAATGTATTTTCACAACTTTTATTTTCGTGTAGATGCAAAATAAAACATTGCCCCATCCGAATGACACAAAAGTTTACTGTACTTTGCAAATAATCGCAATAATATTTTTGCGTCGCACAAAAAATTTTAATCTGTTTCCCTATAAAAATAAAATTAAATCATTAAATATGATAAAGTTTATTTTCCTCCCTAAAGCACAGCAAAATAAAAACAGCGGCAGTTAGAAATTGGGTCAAACATTTATTGCAGATGATCTAACTAATAATTTGATTTGATCACTTTTCTGGCAACTTAAAATTCTGGCCCTAATACCTTAAGGGTGTAAGTTGTATGTGGTTCGGAATACTCTATGCAAGATCAATATTATTGGTGCAAACAAGTTTGTTTGCCTAAAAGTGTTTACTTATTATATTACATTTAATATAAGTAGTACTATATGCCCACACACGTGGATTATTATTATTATCTTAATTGAACATTTGTAATATTAAATTTTGTATGTAGGTAAATTTATTTCATTTACCAATTATTATTATTATTATAAGTAATGAATTCTAATAATTGAAATTATACCTTAAGTAGGTAGACAATGTGTTAAATTAATTATAAAGAGCATACCTAGTTAAATACAATACAGCACATAAAACCCTCATCAAGCATAATTTCGGACGTTATATTGTCTGATAAGTCAAGTTGGTACGTGTAGAAATTGCGTAACAGTATGCATGATTAAACTCTAACCATTAAAAAGTTAAAACAATTTTCCAACCCCACCGTACTCTATCTGCAAAATATATTGGTACCTAGTGTAACAATATACAGGGTGTCTTTTTAAAAACGAGCAACGCTCTATCATTCTGGATCTAAAATAGATATCAAAAAATTCTCAAAACCGTTTCTATGATAACCCCTGGAGCTGTAGCCACCCCAAATCAATTTTTTTTAAATGGCAACGCCCTCTGGGTAAAAACTTTATAACTCGAATTATTTTGTAACAGTCTCAATTCCCTTTGAAATGTTTGTCGTGGAATACCTCTCCATTCTTGAACTAAAGTCAGATTTGAATACACTTTAGTTACTAGCTACTATTACTAGCAACCACTATGACTAAATTTAAAGCCAATTGAATATAACCCAACATTCTAGTATTTTTTTAACGTAATTACGACTACATTACCAATGATGATTGGTTACAAAAAATATTTACAAATTTGAATATTCATTTAATTCAATTCTATATCACAAAATCGCAAAAATAAGAGCTGATAAAACAAAATTTTTATATGGGCGTCCATGCTCCCGAGGGTTCGAAATTAAATCTGTTGTTTATAAATCGTTAAAGAAAATGTTTTGCTGTTGTTATTTTACTACATGTGTGTATACAGATATGCAAACCAATAAAAACCTATAATTACATTTAACTCTCGCATCATAAATCAAACTGTTCGCTATATCACTGTGGCTATATAAATTCGCAAAATGAAGTTGTAAGTCCTTAAGATACCCCTTGACAATAGACACCAAATCACTATTTTCACAACTTTCCACAATGCACAATACACTATAAACCTGATCATATATGCAATGCATTAAAATTCATCATTAATTTTTACCGAATTTCTGAAAATATACAATGTAGCATAACAATTAAATTTGTTTGATGCTGCAAATTGAATCAAAGTAGGCGTTTTAAAGCATGCGTTTAAGAGATAAAGTGCACGTGGCGCCATCTATCTGTAACGTTTTGTAACTTTTATGAACAATCATTTGTAATTTTCATGCATTACAAGACCCAATGTAACGTTTAAAATTTCAATTAATATTAATTAATATTAACTTTAAACAATAATTTTGCTAGAACCATGTATCCGGTTTTTTATATTTTAATATTGGTAGTACTACGACAGAACTGTCAATATCTCCCGGTTGACAGTTTGTTTGTTGTTGTTCACGTTTAAAAAATGCCTAAAAGAAGATCAAGACGTAGCATCCAGCATAGAAATCCTAGGCTTGAAGAGCCGCATAGAATATTTGAGGAGCCGCATGGAATCTTTGAAGAGCCAGTGGATGCCGTTGAAGGAGACGAGCCCGAAGTTCATGTAGAACATGACGATCGTGTGCCGTTGAGGAACATGGCTGTCGGCAATAGACACTACACTCCCCTTGGTGTAATGTAAGTAGTATAGTTTGCAAACAAAAAAAGATCCAACAATATTATATCTATAGAGGGGGCCTTCTTATTGTACGTGAGGAAGAGCGGGAAAATCCAACGCATCGAAAGATAAAGTTGGCTCTTGGCGTGCTTTGGTTAGTAACTTATTTGTTTATGCTTGCCATGGGGTACTACTTTTACTACGGGCATCTTAACCGCAGTAAATTACCGCCCCTCGAAGTTACACCTACACCGCAACCGTTCGTTTCCACACTGACTCGAGAGGAGAAAATGGCCCGCCTCATGGAGAAGATTTTGTCTGGAGAATTTTACGACGAGGAGGAATTTTGGGCATAATTAGATTTTTATAGTAATAGTTTGATTTGTAGTTTGTATTGTTTTATAAATAAAGAGTTTAAACTTTAAACAGTTTTTAAACAAAACAGTATATTTGTTTTTGTAGTTTACTATTGGCAGTACCTAAATACTAAATAAAAAAGCGAGCGTCAGTTTTACTCTATTGACATTTTGTTTTGGTCTTGTATATTTCGTTTGTTTGCCTAAGACTAAGAACTAGAAAGACATAGAAACCCTCGGCATAAAGAGCAGCATAAAATATTGCGGCAAGAGAAGCCGAAGTTTATGTTATTTTATTAAATAAAGTTTGATTTATTAAGTCCAGTACTGCTACCAATCAATAGATGGCGCCACATGTCAAACTGTAATAATGCGCAAGCTCGGCACTGTAAATTCGGTGAATTGCCTTATTTACAAAAAAAATACATTTTTTTATCCATAAATATTTTGGTAACACTAAAAATACATATAATACATTTTTAATTGATAATTAAATGAATTGATGGACCAATTGGTAAAGCAGATTTCATTTTATCAAATGTCAAAAGTTTGATTTGGAAGTTTTATACTTGTAAAAAT